CACGTTTACCTAGTTAACAATTTTAATTCCTTTTAATTATTTCTGAATTATAACTTTTGATTCGAGAATAGGTCCGATTTATAGATGTCTATTTAGAAATTGAATCCAAAAAGACAGACTATTTAAAAAAGCATTTGGTCTGGTCAGTTGTCTGATGGAATTAAATTGTAGAATTACATTCCCGACTATTTTTATAAAGCGATTTAACTGTGTGTTTTCTTTGGCTTAGGGTGTTGCATTGTCCATCTATATCTTATTTTTGCGGTTCATATTGTTGTGCTTTGTACGTTGAAGACGAGGTAAATTTTATCAAAATACTTACGTAGTTTCCCTTTTCACAACATTTATTGAGTTGATTTTAAAGGAATTGAAATCGTTTGCTGTCCATAATGAAAGTAAATACACGTACGAGTACAAATATTAAATACTTTAGTTTGTTGCTCTACAAGTTTCTTTTTCATTTCTTTAGAGATTGAAAGTTCTGCCTTTTTTTCTTCGTAAAGAAAAACCTTTTACCATTGTTTAGTTCATAATTTATGATGGGAATTATTTGTTGAATGAATTTCTTTCACTTTTTATGCAAAAAAAAGGTTTATTCTTCTAAAAGTTGCATATTTGTTTTCGATTTCTTCTACCCCACCGCTTAAGATTTCTTTTTTAACTGTCGAAGTTATAAAATTATTTAAAAAACCATCGTTTAAATGTTTAGGAAAAGTTTTCTTCTGTGTAAACAAAGCTTTAAAAGACAGCAATTGTACCAGACATGGCACAGTCTATGGACTGGAGTATTAGCTAGTTTATGAACTAAACCATGGACTGGTTTATTAATCTATGGACTAGTCTATTAACATATACTTGTGGATAGCTACTATCATATCATTACCAATAGTTTTATTTATTTTGTAAATCTTTTAAAAAAACTTTAGGATTAAAAGTACAAAATTTCAACTTTTAAATGGGTTAGCCTACAGCCTAATCAATAGATTAATCTATGGGCCGGAGTGACTAATCTATAGTCTATGGACTGTTGGCAAGTCAATGTACTATTCTATTGACTAGTTTATAGTCTATGTTTGACTGTTCTATTAAATAGTCTAAAGAATAGTTTATGGACTACATCCGGCAACCTTTACACTCTAAACTAATGATATAAACATAATTTCTAACTGCTTCTGTATCCATTTCATCACCATGAATTTCAATTTACATATACATACATACATACAAATGTAAATAAATATTTCATCATAAGGTTATGTGGAAAATGATTGATTATCTTTGATTCTTATTTCTGAAATCGTAATGAATACATAATCGTTTTTTTTTGCCGAAAACAAAACAAATTTCACTTTCTTTTGATAAATTGCCACAAAAATGAAAGAAAACAAAAATTGAAAAAAAGTCCATTACACTCATACGTAATTACTTTTGTTTTCATTTGAATATTTTTTAAATTATGTATATTTCTCAAATTGGAAGTTTGTTTTCTTCAATGTGTATTTTTATTTACCTTCAGACAGACTTCTAAATTATCTCCACTGCCTCCCTCACTTGCTGAGAGCTTCCTTCTGCTATTGTGATCGATACAATGGCTAAAATGAACTCGTATGTATGTACATATGTATGTATTCAAGTTGTTTGTCTCCAGCTGAGATAGATTCGATCATAATTTTATTGTTTTTTAAAATTACTAAACGTATTCGTACAATTGGATCTTTTACTCACGTACTACAAGTATAGATTGAAAGATGAAATTGAAAATTACTTCAATTATTTTCCATTGAACTTTCTAATACGGGTTGATTGTGAAGAAAGAAATTTTGTTTGAGATGTTTGTATAGGTTGCTATGATGAATGAAGGTGGTAATCATGCTGAGTTGCAAAAATATTTTATTTTATGTGTTTTTGATTTTGTGTTTTTTTAAAGAAAGGGTTTATTATTTATTTACACTGTAGGTTTATTGATATTTCTGGAATCAAGTCTCAAGGCTGCAGTTTATTACTATACATATAGATTTCAATAACAATCTCCTTTTAAAATCGAAAGTTTTTTGCTTGAAAATTTTAAATTTATTTAATTATTTTGTAAGTTTTAGAAAAAAGTGAACATGACTTCAATTCTTTTCATAACAATTAAGATTTATGCATAATTTTTGTTTTACAATATATATTTTAAATTTTCCTTATATTATTAGTCATCTTCAAGAGAAATCTTTTCTTTATCCGCCAAGTAAACAACTGTTATAAGTTCAATGTCAGCCTTATGTCATACGTATGTATAGGAATTGGAAAATTTAAACAATAAGTTTTATTATCTCATATACATATACATATATACAAACACATCACCCTAATTATAAAACATTTTGAAGTTTTATTTAAATATGTCTACATTTATGGGCCAACTTGCTAAATAATATTGTAAATAATCTGAGTTATTTCCCCAAAATAATGATTCAATGTGTTGTTATTTCTTAATTTATTTCAGTGGGAGTTACCTTTAACTGTTTACGTTTTAAGAAAAGTGATTACATGTTTAACTCTGAAATTATGTAGAATTTAATCATCTGTGCAATTATATTCAAGGGAATTTTCAATATTGAGTTATTACTTATCGTGCTCCTTCTAAAATATTTAATAATTTTTGCAAAATGATTGATTTATTTTCTTAAAATTTCCCTTTACTGAATGTGGCAATAATTGAGGGCAAGTTTTATCACGACATAATTGTAATTAGGGTTGTATTTAACAAACTGATGAAACGTTAAAAATTTTTATAAAGTGTTAATATTTATAAACTACCAATCCGATACATCTTTGACCAATTAATATCTTATAAAATATTGTTTCTAGTTATTTAATTATTGTTTACTTTTTTACAAACAATTGCTAAACAAATTATCTAATTATTTTGTTGTAGTAATTAAATAAGAGATTCATTACACACTCACGAAAACGAGGAGTTTTAAAAAATGCATGATATTTATCTTAAAATTGGGAATTTTGTTTTGATTAAACTTAATATTTGTATAAAAAATGTTTGTTTCGACAAGCTTTGAACTGAATTTTGAAACTGTTCAGCTCGGATAGGCTGAAAATTTTCAAATATGTCTGTTGCAGTTACTTTTGTACTTACATACATACAGATAGTACTAAGGCGCATCTAATAAGATAAAGTCTTCAGCTGTGATGATTAAGCAAAATTTAATCCGAAGCTGTCAAACTGCATATCAAAAAAATCTCACAACCGACGCTGTCACAAACTCCATATTTAGAAAATATGACGAATTCTTACCAAAGTGTCATGACTTCACCTTTTAATAGATTCACCTTAATAATATATTGCTATACGGTTTGTGTCTTCAATAAAAATTTACACTTTACTCTTTTGTAACTGTGTTCTTAATATAAGTATACTTTTAGGCGAGCTAAGAAAATGTCGATAAGACAGTGCTTGCAAATAGTCGGTAATTGGTTGTTGTATATGATAAGTATATAATGTGGATTTTATTGTGGAACGTAAAAAATTTAATTTAAATTTTTAATAAATAAATAAAAGGTTTAATAATAGTATCGCTCATTTACCACAAGACTGGCTTAATCTAATAAAAGTAATTTCAAGAAAAATTGCATGCATTATTGATGACATTTTACTATGTTTTAAATAAATTTTAAACAAATTAAGCGATTTGAAAAATATTTGAAACTAGATTCTGTTAAAACATCAAACGACTTTCTTTGTCTTAACATAGGTTTGACGGTTCCAACGCACGTAAACATCGTGTGTAGTATGCAAAATTATTTAATATTTCTTTAATTTGTATTCTACTATTTGTTCTCAATGTTAATAATAAATTTAAAAAATTTTCCACCGAGAACATGTAAGGGAAAATTACCATTAATAGTAAAAGTGTAAAAACCTCATTTAACAGAATCAATCACTGAAGAGTATTACTTTAAGTTGTGGTACAGATAAATACAATGATTAATATTTAATTTTAAATTTAACGATGCGTGGCTGCAATAAAATTATCTATGACAAGCCATCAAATACTTGCAAATCAACAGAACTGTCAATGTCCTAAACTCAAATACTAAACAAACCAAGACAGTATCTATTATTATCGCGGTTCATGTTCTTAAACGAAATACAAACCGCAAATAAATAAACAAATAAAATCAAATTAATATTAATAATATTTTTATGTTTATACTATAAACTGATATTGTTATTATTTAAAAATGCATTTCTTAACGTGCGACAGACAACTGCACCGATGTGAAATGTGCAGGAGGTAGTTTTCAATGAGATAACCTCTCTCTCCCTACAAGATTATTTCAAACAGCAAGAAGAGCGTATAAAAACCTTGACAGCTGCTGCATATACGAACAGTTGCAATTGTGAATCAATAACAGCAATGAAAGTATTTTTTGTGATTTTAGTTTTAACCGTAGCGGTAAGTAGAGTGCAACAGAAATAATTTGAAGCATTTTATTTATTTTATTTCTTGCCCTAGCAGGCCTTGGCCGATCATCATGAGGGCCATGATCATGATCACCATGTCCACCATGAAAGTCATGACTATGTGGTCAAACATCATGACGATTTGGTAAAATATCGTGATGAGTGCTGCTCTAAGTTGAACATCTCCCCTGAACTAATGGAAAAGTACAAATCCTGGGAATATCCCGATGATGAAACTACACACTGTTACATTAAATGTATCTTTGAACACTTTGGCTTCTTTGACGAACACAAGGGTTTCGATGTCCACAAAATCCACCATCAATTGGTAGGAGAACATGGAACCGTCGATCACAATGATGAAACACATAAAAAAATTGAACATTGTGCCGATAAGAATACTCAAGGTAGTGATGTCTGCACCTGGGCCTACCGTGGTGGCATGTGTTTCATTCGTTCACATTTGCAATTGGTCAAGGAAAGTGTTGATCATAAACATTAATCTAATTCACATGAAATCAATTAAAAATAAATATTTAACTTGTGTATTAAAAATTTTATGTGTTTATTTTGTTGTTATTTTATTTTTGTAAACATTTTTGACGTATTCATTAATCCACTGTCCAATGCGTCCTTTGGCAAAACACTGATAGGCTTCATTGGCCCATTTGTCCGGGTTGTTGATTTGTTTGTGAGAACGGTTGCAATAACCAATTACCACTACAATTTCTATGGGTTGTTGATATTTGTTCAACAACTTTATAAGACGTTTTGCTTGGAAACCTTCTTCGTCTGTCCATAAACCCAATTGCTTTGTAAAGCATCTAATATCATCGGAATCATTGTCATAGTTTTCTTGTGCATTAAGAAAGTATTCGTTGGATATTTCACATGCTTCAACAGCTGCTTGTATATCAATTGCAGTGGGCACTTTCCATAAGTCACATTTTACACTAGTTAACTGTATATAGGAAATTTTATTTAATTATTTATTTTTTTAAAGTGATTTTATGTTTCTCACCATTATTAAAAATATTGCAAAATTTAGAAGCAACATTTTATTTTCAATTTACTTGATTTTTTATTTGGATTTGTAGTTGGTTGTAACCTGATCGACAGACAATTCACAATTAAAAACTGTTTATATTTTGTTTTGTGAGCTTTTATATTTTTTAAATATAAATATAATAGTTATTTGTATTTAATTGCAGTGATTTATGGCTACTTTTATTATTGTTGATTTTTTAAATATAAATTTACTAGGAAAGCGTTAACAGAATGCGTATGAGTACAATTTGTTTTAGCAATTAAATTTGAAATAAAAATAATGCTACTTTTTATACAAGTCTCTATAGTTTTCATGTGCTAACTAACTAACGTTTATAATAGTGCTCGTATACATATTTGTTTAACATTTATTCTATATCTCAATAAAGTATCTGTGTATCTTCTAATTGTTAAGTTAGGTCACTTGACAACCTTCGTACGATTTGTTCTAAGTATTTCATAAAAATTGGTTTTCTTACAGTTGTGTATGTTGAAATAGCAGGGTGTATATTTTTGGTCGTTTCAGAAAGTTTGAAAGGAGATAGGGGAGCTTTATATTTGCTGACAAGTGTGGGTGCTATTTTTTTGCGACTTTTTACCACAAAAATTTTGTAGTTCTTTTGAAAGTTGATTTCTAGAATCAAATTTGACTAATTTCAACTTCTTAGGGTTAGGGGAATTATTTCAAATTTCAGTTACAAATTTTAAAACTTATTGAAAAACAGTGATTTGTATTTAAATTTTAATAATTTGTTATTTGTTTAAAAATTTTTTTGTTTCAATAATTTAAACAATAAGTACCTATTTCTTTAGATACAACTGTTATTATTATTTAAATTTTAATAATTTGTTATTTGTTTAGACATTTTTTAGTTTTAATAATTTAAACAATAAGTACCTATTTCTTTAGACACAACTGTTATTATTATTATTACGAATACTACGTGTTTAAAATTTTTAAGGGCTTTGTGTACCCGGAATATTAATAAACGTTTGTAACAATAAAATAAATACTCTAAAAGAGGGAACAAATTTTTAATTGCATTTTGAACTATTTACAATTAATAGACACTCGTTATACGTAATACGAGAATTTAAAATTATTATTAAAAAAAATATTAAAATTATTTCCAATTTATTCACATTACAGTTTGTAATAATTTATTGAAAAATACAACGGTATTTAGAAGACATTTGGACGAATTTATAATAACCGTAAATGAATTAAAACAAGTCTAGTGAAATAACCGGTTATTTAGCGAAACAGGGTAATGTCCTAAAAAGAGGTTAACTGACATCTTTTAAACAATCTGTAGCAAGCCTCTGAAGTAATTTAAGGCAATTTTTTGTATTTTAAATAGAATACAATTAAAATTTTGAGTTTATTTATCGATTAGAATATTAAGTCTGAGACTTTAAAAGGAATTAAACGGACCAACCCAAAAATGTATAGGCTCAAGATATAATTTTATTTATAATTTGGTTAAAAAAAAATTATTTTTAATGCTTCTATAACTAGTTCGTTTGAATCAATTTATACAGTTTTTAAACAAATTAACATGACCTTATTCGAAAATGTAGGGTATTTGAGAAAACAAACAATAAACAATTAATACCTGTGCTTTTGTTTATTTGACCGAATGAATATAAATATTTTCGTTATTATTTTTTTTTTATACGTTTCGCGATAAAATCGTAATAACAAAAACTCACTTATAGTTAATAGAATTCCATGGAATCTAATGTTTATCAAAAAATATAAAATATTTTTTCTTGCAAACTACAAAAAAAAAAAACATGTTTATTTCAATAAAAATTTGTAAAAACATATTTACAAATAAAAAATATACAGCGAGATGTTTGAATTTACTCTCTCAGGCTGTTTTGTCAACAAGTGTTTAAAACTTCTAAATAACATATTAATGATGACAGGTTGACATCATGTAACCAACAATTATTTTTCCAGCAAGAAAGCAGAAATCTTATTGGCATAATTATCTTATTTTTTTAGATATGTGATGTTAACTTTTCATCATTAAAATTGTTTTTTGTTTTGTTTTATTTATGGCGCTTTTATATACTATATTAAATTTCTATTTCATTTGTGTGTAAACTTTTGAGTAGCTTTATTCACAATTGTTGTTTAATGGAAATGTGTGTTTAACTAAAAAAAATAAACATAGATTTAAAAAAATCGTTTACCATGTGTATGAGACATAATATATTTAATTGTTGTTTTAATACTTGAATTAGCTGCACGTGCCTCATTAACAAGGTTACCTGGATTTGTAGACAGACAATAAAAACAATTATTAATATAGACAATTTTAGCTTAAACTAGACAATTTGGAAAATGGAAAATAATTAGCAATTTATTCAATACCAAATCAGACATAAATATGTCGTAAAATTTTTAAATTATTATTTAATTCATAACTTGTGTTGTATCATTGTATCGTTTTTTTTTTAAATATTTCAAAAATAAATTCGAAAATTCAAATTTTGGCTTAACCGGTTTATAGTAGAGACCTTGTCTCATTCGACTACTATTGAATTCGAATTGTTAGAACACTCCATAAGGGATACGTTTCCTATTATAACAGGGTATACGAAATTGGCCTGATTCGACTATATGTTACTTGAGATATGAGACAAGATCATAGCTAAAAATGGCCATTACTTTGAATAAATTATAAACCCCAAACCACAACTCCATTTATACTGTAACTTTCGCTAACAAATATATACGTAACTCTGTAATCCTGAAGCATGAGTAACTAAAAGATTCAACCAACCAACAACGAACAAATGAACCAAATGATTGTTAAAAACAAACATAAATAAAATATATAACACCTCACAGTATGTGTACGAGTGTATGTTTAAAAACTAAATGATGCCAATAATCATCATTATCATGACGATGATGATAGTATTGCTCTCTGTTCCTTTATCCTTAGCAAAGTTGCCAACAGGGTTCTGGCTTTCATGTTTACAAACAACACACTCCACCCACTTCCCGTTACTTCAAAAATTCTGTGAACATTTATTAAACGTTGCACAAACACTTACTTCAACTCATGCCACTTCTTAAGCTAAATACAACTGTGTACATTATCTACACCCACATTAGAATGGTGTGGGGCTATTGGAGGGTTGAGGCAGGGGGCGCACAGGCAACAGTATATTAACTGATGTTAAAATATAAACTTTCAAACGCTTGATTTCACACAATAACAATACTTACTTGTGTTGCAAGTATCTTTGTGTGTTAGTTGAAGGTATTTTAAGGAGAAGAGTTGAGAATTTGACCCACGACAAATCCATTCATTCTCTTACTCAAACAATAGAATATAATACAATGAATATATTTCTCCTTTATACATTTATATCGTTTAAGTAAATTTCTAGTATGAGTTGTAGTTTACAAAACGAAAAGGGTTGGCTTTTGGGGGGAATGAGCTTAACAAATATGTGGCGAATCCTGACAACAGTAATTCATTGAGTGGATTTTTGAATTAATACGCGAAAAACCACTGATTACTAAAGAGCTGAAATTTTAATGGTGTTAAAATTTTAAATAATTTCAGCTGCAATAATACCGAATTTATATACATATTTTGCAAAATATTAAAATTAATTCAAATCGGATCAGATCTGTAAAGAAGTTCTGGAATTTAAAGAAACTTTTAGAGAGTTTTATTCTAAGTTTTGTAAAAAAGCTTTCTGCTTTAGAGAGTATTATCTCTTCTGTTCTGTTATAATTTATCGATCCCCGTACTACAAAAATAGGATTAATTCCAAATTCCCTCTAAAAGCGGTATTTAAAGATTTATAAACTTTTCTGTGTATTAGGGTATTCAATCGATTAAGACTGGTTCTTTTCGAATTATTAAGGATTACTTCCAAATTCCCTCTAAAAACAGTATTTAAAACTTCCACAAAATGATTTGTATATGCACAGCATTTTCGAGTATAATTTCATCCCGATATGTTAATGAATTATTTTCGTTTAATTGATTCTCGGAATTGGACCTTATATTTGGAGCTATGGACCAATCCATCTTTTAGTAGTTAATATGATTTGTCATAATACCGATATTCTAGAGAGAGTTATTAACAATAAATCCAATATTTTCTTAAGTTGTTTCGAAAATTTGCTCTTTTTCAGTTATCTATGGACCGATGTTGCTGTTTTGAAATAGTGAACTTGTGGAAAGCATAGTGAAGATTCCGATATCGCAGATATTTGGGGTCGTCTTAAAACAGATTTCAACATAGATACGAACAGACAGAACTTCTCGAAAGCAGGTCTGTTAGAATTATTAAAGATTCGGATATCGCAGATGTCTGAGGTCCTCTGAAAACTGATTACAACATATATACATACGGACAACAGACAGACAAACAAATTGCATAATATGAGCTCCTTTTTCAACTTAAACGTATTTCGAGGAAGTGACAGGATTTTAATTTTTCGACTAACAAAGAAAGTATTATTGATACAATTTGAACATGCTTTAACAAAGTTACAATAATGAACTGAATACCCTACTGTCTATATTAGTAATTTTAGTTTCTGTCCTGGCTTTTATTGTTCTTGTATTAAGTAGTTGGCAAGGTTTCAAATTCAATGCATCAACTCTTTCTCTTAACTTTTAACTCTTTCAAATTTCTATATTACTAGTCCATTCTCCTGTCTCCTCCCTTAAGTCATAATTTTAATACAATTGTTTTTCATAAAACGATGCAGTTGACAGCAACAGCAGTAACAGCAATAACTCCAATGAATACAATTGCTAAATTAAATTGCCATAGAGATGCAAACCATACTCATACTCCATAAAGAAGAAAAGATTTTCTGGAAGATATTTATACGGGTGTATTACGTTTACAATTTACCAAAAGAGGAGGGTAAAGTTTATTAAGAGATGATACTATTGTTATATTTAGTTGTTGTTTAGCTTTTTCTTCTCATACTCGTTGTTGTTGTGTCTATTAATTGAGATAAGAATAAAATACTATACTAGAAAGTACTTATTGTATGTTTAGTACTCGTGTGTAAGTACATAAATACATATGTACGTATTTTGTCTGATAATGTTTTAAGTCAATAATTAATTCATTCACCCATGAATGTATAGTACAATATGTATTGTTATGTTTGTATGTTTTCTATTAGACTATACGATTAATATTATGATTTCAATTTTTCATGATAATTTCATTTTTAACCTTCAAAGTTGCTTGCATTTTGAAAAATAAAAAAATTAATAT